GCGGTGGGAGGTGCGGGACGGGAGCGGTGCGGGAGCCGTGCCCAGCGCTCTCGCACCTCCTGCTTTGCCCCGCTTAGGCTGTAATTAAAGAACTCTGCCCGTTCTTCTTCCCTTGCGTGATTTCGCGTCTTTAATTCTCTTTAAATGCCCACTAGAAAATCTTTCTCTGCTAATTACTCAAATGCAAGGTACTTTTTTTGCCATTCTTTGTTTCAGACCCATGGGATGGGCTTGCTATCTAGCTTATTTACATGTTTTTCTTGATTTTCTAAACTTTTTACTGCTCTGGGTTTTGTAAAGCATGTTCTTACTTTTATTTAGCAAGGGCACCCTTTCCTGTTTACAGCTTTGAGATGATCTCTGGCTTATAAACACATCAGTGAATCCACCACTGTTTGAGATGGCATCAGTAAGTTGCATAACTGCCCGCTTCCAAAGCACATACAGACGTTATCAATGGAGAATACAGGTTTCCTGACAAGTAATTTCTGTGCAGGCTTTCATGCATTTACAGTGCAATCAAATCAAGCCCTTTCCGTTTCTAAATCTCTGCTGTTGTATTACAAGGTGTGTTTTCTACTGAAGAAAAAGATACACTAGAACATATTGTTGGGGAGCTTTGAGATCTTTCCGATTGGAAGAAGTCCAGTAACGCAGTCCTTGCCGACTCCAATTTGCCTGCTCAGCTCTGCATGACAGAACTTTTTTTGTCTTTCTAGCTTCACTTGTTGAATGCACCTAACCATCTTTTACATATATTTTAACAACTGAATTAAACTGATTCCTGTGTGATTACATTTGTGACTCGGATGTACAATTAAACCAGCAGATTATCTTAAACGGTTTATCATTTGTTACATTGTTTGCCTTCTTCTAATTCTGGGCTCTGTGCTTCTTGTTCTCAGGGCTGCGGTTTCTGAGGCTGTGCAGCAGTGCCGGGCAGGCTGCGGGGCCAAGGAGCTGCGAGGGCAGCCACCGGGTTTGCGCTCAGCGTCACCGTCCGGTGGCTGCTGGGGAAGCGGCACCCAGCTGGGCACCATGAGCTCCAGCACAACCGCCCCGCTGAAGGTCGTCAGCAACCTCGCCAACACTGATGTCAACTATGTCATCAAAGAGCATTATAATTACACGGGAAAGCTAAATGAGAATGTGGACAGTGGAATAAAAGTGACATCGGTGGTTTTTATCATCATTTGCTGCTTTATAATCTTAGAGAACATTTTTGTTTTGCTCACCATCTGGAAAACCAAGAAATTTCACAGACCCATGTACTATTTCATTGGGAACTTGGCTCTTTCAGACTTGCTGGCTGGTGTGGCTTACACTGCCAACCTCCTCCTATCTGGACACAAAACCTATAGTCTCACCCCCTCCCAGTGGTTTGTAAGAGAAGGCAGCATGTTTGTTGCCTTGTCAGCTTCTGTGTTCAGCTTGTTGGCCATTGCTATCGAGAGATACATCACCATGTTGAAGATGAAACTCCACAATGGCAGTAACAGCTTCCGCTCCTTCTTGCTGATCAGCGCGTGCTGGGTTATCTCCGTGATACTTGGGGGACTCCCGATCATGGGCTGGAACTGCATCAGCCTCTTGTCCAACTGCTCCACCGTGCTGCCTCTCTACCACAAGCACTATATTCTCTTTTGCACCACAGTTTTCACTGGCCTTTTGCTCTCTATTGTTGTCCTCTATTGCAGGATCTACTCCATGGTGAGGACTAGGAGCCGCAGGCTGACATTTCGGAAAAACATTACCAAAGCTACTAGGAGCTCAGAAAAGTCACTGGCCTTGCTCAAGACAGTGATCATAGTCCTGAGTGCCTTCATTGCCTGCTGGGCTCCCTTGTTTATCCTGCTTTTACTGGATGTGAGGTGTAAAGTGAAGACCTGCCCAATCCTCTATAAAGCAGAATATTTCTTAGTACTGGCCGTGCTCAATTCAGCCACGAACCCTATCATCTACACCTTGACAAACAAAGAGATGCGCAGGGCTTTCATCAAGATTCTGTGCTGCTGCAAATGTCCCCCAGCGGACTCTGGGACCAAATTCAAGAGGCCAATCATCGGAGGGATGGAGTTCAGCCGGAGTAAGTCTGACAACTCCTCCCACCCACAGAAGGAGGAAGGTGACCGTCCTGAAACCATCATGTCTTCGGGCAATGTTACCTCATCTTCTTAGGAATAACTGAGGGGATGTATTTCAGAGCCTTCCTCTGAAATTGGGGAGCTGAAACGCCTCCTGCTCACGGTAGCAGCGTCGGCTGAGTGAGCAAGTAGCATTAGTTCTAACGAGGCAAACGGTGCACTTGCGAGGCTGGAGTTCAAGAAATGGGACAGACTGTTCTGGCTTGAAAATCTTTTTTCCTGGAGCGTGTTTTGTCTTTGCACTGAGGCAGCTCAGGATTGTCAGGCGCATTCATATCTTGAAATCTCCTTAGTAACTCTGAAAGACTGATGCCTTGGTGAAATGATGCCTGGTGTGTGTGAGAGAAAGAGAGAGGGGGAGGAGTGAGAGGGAGAATGAATCTTTTTTTTTTTTTTTCCCCCTGTGAGAAGAATGTGAAGTTATTTCTCCTTTCCTTGTAGCAAACCACTGACACAAAGATCTTTCTGTACTGAGTTTAGTGGTGGCTCTGGTATAGTTGGTCAGAAGCATTTGTTTAGCACATAACTAGGAAAGAGATCCCACAAATATAACTTCAACCACGTACAACCATAAATTGGCATCACTTTCCAGAGTTTTTAGTTAAATCATAAGGTTTTATTTGTGGAGTCCAAAGATGTTGGGTTTTATTTTAGTAAGATCATAGCTGTGAATTTTTGCTGTTGGTCCATATCACGTTTGAAGACCGTGAGCCAGACTCTGCGGTTACTTTCACCTGTACAATTCTATTGACTGCGTCAGATTTTAGGGAGCAGCTCAGAGCAGCATTTGGCCCCATATGTTGGTTGCCTTGTTATTCTATAGCATTAAATAAACAGCATTATAATGACAAATGCAAGGTAGAACTAAAGGTCATTTCTCCTAAGATGACTGGAGGTAAATCTAATAGTATAAGATACTATTGCCAGCAGCAGAATTTTTGCCTAAGTAAGAAGAGTAAAAAATTGAAGGGGCATTTCAGTGTCAGGTTCATAGTCTTCCCAAAGGTAAAGATCAGTCAGAAAAGCTGAAAATAATATCTTGATTTTCAGAAAAATAAAAGGAAAGTTGAAGTGAAATGACTATAAATGCACTTCCATAACAAAATGCAATACATTTTGGCACGTTATTAAGTCTACAATTTCAGCAAAGATGTCTGTATTTTATCAGTTCATGGAAGACGTACCTGTCATTAAATTGAATGTATTTGTTTTGCAGCGTCATTTTTACTCCTTTATTTTTCTAACTTGTGCTAATGGGGTTGAATGTGTACAATGTAAATAAGTTAATAAGATGCAGGAGTTTTCATGCACCTAGAGTATTACTGTAACAAAAGTGGTATATCTGGGATAGCTGAGAGCAATTGACAGATTTACAGTTATTGGCAATTCCTAGAAGTGGTATTTTGTAAAGAAAATTTATCGCCTTTGTAGTAAAATTTCCAGTGCAATTAAACTGATTTTTTTTTTCTGGTTTAAAAAAATAGTATTTAAAATGTTTCTGACTTTTATTTTTCAATTTGCACATAGCTTTATTGACTTCTAAACATTAATAAACTGATTTTTTTAAAGATTCTGTTATCAGATATTACTAGTAGTTTTGTACTATTGTGGGTGTTTCATGCCAGGTGTAGTTTCTTGTTGACAGAAGTCAGTGAAATTTCAGTACCTGCTGGGATTAAGTCAGTTTTGCAGGGACATAGATGCATAATACCACTTACAGGATCATGTAAAATACTAAATGAATGCTAGAATATAATTTTTCATCAGCACATGCTGTATCACTGAAATGCCATTAAAAGAATCTACAGTAGCGATTTTTCTCCAACAGCTAAGGAAGCGCAAAGGGAATAAAAACCAGATGCCTGCCAGTTTTGCCATGACTGCCTAGAGCAGAATAAGTGAAATAATTCACGTATATCATTAATATAATTTGTAAGTTAAATTCTTAGCTTAGTGCAAACTTCAAGGAAGTTTATGAAATGCAGAATGGTGGCCTCAGCCATGTAACCACTGCAGCTGCGTTGGGTCCACCAGTGAAGATCGCGGCAGCGTAGCTGAGTAGGTACTGTGTTTCTTCTTCCAAAGGCTTGACTTCCATTTCCTCCCTTGCTGCCATTCCCTCTTGGTATTACTTTTAAGTTCCATGGAGCTCATACAGGATGCAGTTGGAGTGTGAAGATAAACCTCACCTTCTCGTACTGTATGTCATCGCTGTGCAAGGTTTACTGTGGGAAACAGAGCCCACTCACCGAGGAAGGCTCTGGGTCATAACCTCACTTCCTGAAGGAAATTCCAAAAATGCCCTGAAGACAAAAGAGTGGAAACCGGCTGGAATTTCTCTCCATCTGTCTGCCTGTACGGAAGGAATGATTTCATGTGTGTTCACTTCCTCAGCTTTTAATTAGTGACCTGACCAGGGCTGGAAAAAATGTCAAATCTGTATTTGCACACAAGATAAAGTCTCTCTTGGCTCAGGCCTTCATTTGGGCAGGGATGGTTTACGCCGGGTGCTGACAGTCATGAGGGAAAGCGCTGCTTTGTCCCAGGGATAAAGTCACTTCTGTGCAGAGCACCAAAAGCACATAAACCATGAAAGTCCAAGCTAAGCCCTCAACATGCTACCAGTGAGTAAATAAAGGCAATGTAGGGGAACGAGGCAGTGTATGGGGACGTCAGAATTGGTAGGGGTGTTTTTGTCCAAAGGGTGAGGGTCCTTCCACTCTTGAAGCCTTACACTCATTAAGGTTGTTTGTCCCACATGGGTCTGGGAGCCTGTGACAAGGGACAAGCTATGTATGTCACAGCACGGCTGTGTCACTGGCCCCTCCTGACAACCACCGGCCTTTCTGTATTGGTAGCTGATAGCCCCCAGGTGAGTCACTTCCCTTCCCTTTGCCTTTGTTTCTGCATCCCTTGCTTATCTATGTCGTCCAATTGCACTGTGGGCCTTTGCGGAAAATGACTATTTCCCCTATGGACATGACTGTGATGCCAGCCCCGTTTTGGTAGGGAACTCAAAGCCCTACGTAATTCATGCAGTAAAAGAAATGCAAACATCAGAGTGTGGCACTGGGCCATGGGAAGCATTTCCTATGCTCTTGATCACGATGACTGTGTTCTGTTTCCTCCATAGACACAGGCCACATTTATGCATGTAGACAAGATTCAGACAGAGAACAATAAATCTAATAAAATAATATCAATAATAAAAGTAAGGGCTCCTGCTGGGGGGAAAAAAAAAAAAAAAAAAAAGAAAAAAAACAGGCTATTTGTACTGCTCTTCACTTCCTACGTGGGAACGCTGCAGCTCCTTGGCCAGGGCCGTGCATTACCGTGTGCATTACCATACACCAGCAGGTTAGGCCAGATGTGTAGTGCACAGCTTTGAAGTGTGCAATGCAGACAGCACCCTTCCCAGCCCGCGGACTGCCTTCTATACGCACCACAAGGGCATGCAGCTTTGTCCTGTTGTTGGCCATGTGACAAATGGGCAGAGAAAATGAACTGAGAACTGACGAGGTGCATTATACCAAGTGTCTACGTGAAATAAAATAGCCTGAACTATCTGGAGTAACCTGGTCCTTTGATTTATATTCTTCTTCCTACCTGTGCCTCCAGTATAAGGAGCAAAACAAAATTATTATAAAATGTGTCTGTTGCTCCCCTGGGAACTGTGTGTGGCCCAGGGAGAGCAGCGTGTACCTTGGGTAACGCAGGGGCTGCAGCCAGAACGTCCAGCAGACAGCCCAGCAGGAACCAACCCTGGCCTTGCGGTACAGTGCAGGCAGCCAGGACCAGAACTGCAGGACGTAAAAATGTAAAAATACTGTTATCCATCCTTTTCTTACCCTGTTAACTAAGAAATACAGAGATTGCCCAACTGTAACATTTCCCAATTCCTAATTTGGCCTGGAAGATCTCAATACTGATTGTGTTTTGTATGGGCTGAGGTATTATCAGATGATGTAAAAACGGTCAGACTGACAAAGCATCCAAAAATGTGGATATGTAGACCAGAGCTATGTAACCTACGCAGCTCTGAAATACTGGAAATTCCCCAAGGACAGGCTTCGTCATTTATGGAGTTCTAAAATTCCCCAGGAAAATGTCTATTGTATTTCTGTGATTCTCCATACTGATTTTCTTGGAAAACAAAATTAATCCAACTGCAACTGAACCTTCAAGGATTTAAGAAGCAAACAAACAAAATCCATCTAAATTCCGTTCCTATAATCTGCTTTCACAAACTTTTCTAATCCCATGTTTGCATTTATAGATGGAAAGAGTTTGCTCATTCTCTATCATCTAATTTATTCTGAGAGAACCTTATTTCTTTTTACACAGTCTGCAACAATCACATTGGGTCAAGAAATCTCCCTTCAATTATTGCTCCATGCACAGGATTTTCTGTGATAATTAACAGAAATCAAATTGACTCTGCACACAGGAGCTAGATATAAGAACATGTGGTACAGCTAACTTCTTCTAGTACAAGTTTTCTGCTGAAATCAGAAGTGCCTAGAGAGATCCGAAACTCAAGCATCTAATATAAATTATTAACAAAAAAAAGTGGTTTTTTTGTTTTTTGTTTTGTTTTGTTTTGTTTTTTAAGTTGGGAACATAATTAGTGCAGACTTATGTGATCCACTGAAGAGAATTACAGTGTTAAGGACCCTCTCCTTGCAGGAACAGGGTGACACATTCCTTGCGTCCTGCTGTTTATCCCCAAAATCTGAGAGATGATGTGTCAAAGCAGCAGTGTCCAAACAACCCCCTCAAGCAAAGCTCTGTGCAGACAGATCTCTTACCCTACCGAAAAATCTTATGTGGGAGTGAAGCGGGAACCATTTCCTTGCACTGGGAACCTTCTGTGCTACCTTCATGGGACAAAAAGGCAGGAAATCCCATCAGCCACACCCAGGAATGCTCCAGCATGGAAAAGTCCTAATAAAGCAGAGCTGACAAAGCTCCATCAACCCTCTGTGATCCTTCCACCAAACCTGGTTTAGTAGACACATAATGGAAACCTGGTACAAAGGCCAATATTTATTTTGAGCTTATGTGAACGATTGCTTGGAGAAGATTTGTTTTTAAATAACTATACATCAAAATGGCTCATCGGAAACGCATGCGACACAGGCTAGAGGGAAATCACTGAATAAATACTAGGTTAAAATTATCAGCCAGGGTCCATGAAATCATAGATGACAGCACTGTCACTACCTGGGAAAAATCTGTGGTTTGAATCATAGCTGACAGCTGACACTTTCTGGTGCTAACCTGAGCTACCTGCTAAAGGTAGTTTTTCTTTCTTAGAGAA